CTGGGCAGCCTGTTCCAGTGTCTCACCACCCTCACACTGAAGAATTTCTGCCTGATCTCTAACCTAAATCTCTCTTCTTTCAGCTTAAAACCATTACCCCTTGTCCTCTCACTGGAAGTCCCTGTAAAAAGACCCTCCCCAGCTTTCCTCTAGGCCCCTTCAGGTACTGGAAGGCCACTATGATATCCCCCCAGAGCCTTCTCTTCTTCAGACTGAACAACCCCAACTCCCTCATCCTGTCCTCATAAGAGAGGTGCTCCAGCCCTCGGATTATTTTCATGGCCCTTCTCTGGACACGTTCCAACAGGTCCACAACTTTCTTGCACTGGGGGCACCAGAGCTGGATGCAGTGTTCTAGGTGAGGTCTCACCAGGGTAGAGTAGAGGGGCAGAATCACCTCTCTCGATCTGCTGGCCACACTTCTTTTGATACAGCCCAGGATGGAGTTGGCCTTCTGGGCTGCAACTGCACATTGGTGGCTCGTGTTCAGCTTTTGATCCACTAGTACCCCCAGATTTGGGTAGAGCATAAGATAATCAGAAACATAGTTGAGAACACCATATATTGCAAGAGGGAGTTGTCAAGGACATGGGGAGAAGTTAAGAGAATGCTAGGAAGGAGAATGGAAGTATAAAAGCTTTGCTGAGGGGAAGTTGGGAGGTAGAGTACATCTTTATGAGTTTCACAACTCACAAAGCAACTTATCAAAATGCCTTTTGATTCCAAGTACTTGTGAAAGAACATTTTTATATCACTCATCAAGCTCAAGCACAGTAAAAAAAAAGTCAAGAGGAAACATCTAGTTTTGTTCTTTTAATCTATGTGAATGTTGGTATAGGATGTAACAGCACATCAGCTGAGTGACACTCACTGTTACAATCCATTAGTAATGAAAGTATGTGACTATTCACATAAGTAGCCAAACAAATATAGCTGAAAGAAAGGTCCTACAAACTGACAGCATATTAACATACCAAGAACAAAACAGAGATGCGATTACTAAGCGCCAACCCTCCCTGAATGGAAATACCTCTGGAAAAAAACAGTACTTTCTCAAACTTTTTTCCCAACAATGCATATACGGAATATCACCAGTGAAATTCAAAGAATAGCAGTTCCTTTGTTTAAACAGATTCTGAACGACCTGTAGAAGCACAGCTCAGGCAGTTTTAAGAAAAATTTCAGCAATTTGCAAAACACTAAAACACAAGAGTTGGAAACACCATTATTTTTGCTCCTCTACACCTGCAACAACACCAGCCCTCCTGAGTGATAAATGCCAACATTTCTGCTAATAGATGGTTTTTGACAGTGTCAAAGTGGGGGTCAGTCTTGCTTGCTAATGTTAGAACTGGGAGTGATGCCAGGACTTCCAGGAGCTGGCCACAGGCTCAGGCTACATTACATAACCTCCTAATTGGCAACAGCCACCCAGGTGCAGGTATTGGCGGGGACTGAGCTCTTGCCAAAACCTGCCGGCTTTGTTCTCAACTCCTTGCACACAAAAGAAAGGCTGGCCTGTCAAGGTGCATTATTTACTTTTATTTTCTTCTCCTACTTGAATGTTTCTAATAGTACTTTTTTTCTAAGGATATAATTATATGCAATATCCCAAGTAATGATCTGAAACAGGATCACCATCAATTCAGTTGTTGTTTTTTTTTGTAGGGTCAAAAAAAAGGCAGTGATTCTAACATTTCCATGAGTAAAGGTACACATATGGGTACCATACACTAAACTATAGCAAAGGCAAAAGCTTCACAAGCTATTCTTTCAGCAGCATTGCTAATTTTTAACAGCTAACCACTGATTTGCAAATTCCCACTCCTTAACATTCCCTCGGGCTGTTTCACAACAGCTGTTTGTGGCTACACAAAGAGTCAGATGGGGAAACAAAACCAGGTTGGTTACCTGACTGCAAGAAAGGGAAGGAAGAGAGAGGGCAGCTATTCTCTGTTTCTCAAACTAGGCCACTTTGCAGCTGCACAAACAGCTGCATCAGCACAACTGAGAGATTGCACAGGGACTGAAATGAGTGGCTGTGCAAGATAATTACTTAAACTGGCACTGACAGCAGAAGAAATGTTTATCATGCTATGACTTCAGGCAAAGTGGCATGGTATGGGCAGGTGATTTCAAAGAATATGACAACAAGGAGCTCCTATGAATTCTTGGGTCTCTTACGCACTCTTGGAAATCTCGACCTAGACATTCAAGACTAACAGTTTCTTGTTTCAGGGTAGAGGAAAGAGTTTACATTCTTTTTAACCTCTTCTTACTAAAACTGTAACCATTGTTGTTACTAAATGTCAGCTGTTTGCTATTCCTATTTAACAGTAAATAAGAAGATCTGCAAAGTGCAAAGAGGTCAGTTTCCAATCTTGTAATTGAAGGGTCTTAGGGAATAAAAAAGACAATCACTAACGCATACATCTCCATTGCGAACTAGAACATTGTGTAGAGTTAGCTAAGTTCATTTCAAATTACCTACACCAACAACTCTTTCACTACTCCACATGGACTAATTTTACTGGTTGGCTCCTTCCAGTAAGCTTCTTTTTTTAATGTTATTCCAAAGTAATTCTACATTATACTATAACCTACATACAGTGTAGGTTACTTCTTCCCATCCTACCCCTCATCAAATTACAAAAACCAGTCAACTTTACTTCATCTGAAGGAAACTGGCAAGGATTCTACTTATTCTACTTATTTTGTAAAGAAGAGAACTTTCTTGCTGGTCTAGCAGCAAATTAATAAAAAAATAATGCTGACTTTTACTTATTAATTCCCATACAGACTCTGATTAATTATCTACAGTCTTGACTTGCAAGCAACTATTCACTGGAACAAAATACCAACCCATTAACTGCTAGGAAGTGACCTAGTTAAAGCGGTTAAAGGTAGGTACGTGCACTAAAAATGCAGACTTAATAGGGTTGCCCATGTAGACATACTCCACCTACCTTTCTGGAAGGATTAAGGATTGAGGGTGCCCTATGATTTACTTTAGAAAATTACCTCTTGAATTTGAAGCATGAACTGAGAACAAATAATACATGTTATCTGTGGTTTTATTCTAGAATAATATTCTTAAAATAAGATCTTTTTCACATCCAAATTTCACTTTCAATAAGATTCTAAATTAATGTTTCTGTGTTTCAATTCTAATCTTCATCTGAGTACTACAAACACTGTAACACTGCCTACTACCCCACCATCTCACAGCAACAATTGTTAATTAGATGTCTTGGACTGGGTGTTTCTGAAAACTTCAATTAATATCATGCTGCTTAGAGGAATAAACAAAACCCAACCAAGTTATAACTGCAAAATTGAAAGGCAGTAGGCCGAAAAATGAAAAATTACAGATATACATGATTAGTGTTGAGCTTTTCATTACTCTCTCCAAATGACTCTGTAAACTCTGACTCTGTTCTTAAAATTGCAGACTTAAAATCAACAGAAGGTAAAACTCTAATAGTGCACTGCAAGTATAATACAACTCACTAATCTGTCAGCAGCTACACTTATCAAAGCAACATATGGTTTAATATTCTCTCACATTTTTAAAATCTTCTAAATGTCAGTGTTTTGCTCAATCTTTTGGTCATTAGCAATTTCCACCACTTCCCATTTAATGAGGGAAAAAACCCCTTAATTTAAAAAAATCTCTTTAAAAGCACAAACATGTAGAAAAAGAGCAATTTAATTGTCACATTTTCCTAGCTGTTTCCCAGCTTTTATCCTAAATCCCATGCTGAGGTAGCCACTGAACAAAATTAATTCAAGATTTCATATTTCAGAATTGAACATATTCTTGAATAACAGTGTGAGTGATTTAATCCTTACCTGTTCCAGACTCCAACAAGACAGAATAAATATGCTGACGAGCAGGGCGGTAGATAAGTGCCTGTCCAGGAATCTCTGTATCACAGTCATCTTCCAAAGAGTTGCTGCACTTAATCTCTCCATTACTCAGGATATTGAAGATTGTGTAATTTTCAGATCGGATATGCTGTTCTTTAGCTAACTGTTCAAAGAAAGAAGAAGGCATTATATCTAAAATCAAGAAGAATCAAGAAGTAATAAAATGTATTCACTTTTTGAGGGAATCTACTTTCTCTAGCAGTGGAAATGGAGAGAATGACCAGTGGGGGAACAAGTGCTGTTTCAAATAACACCAGTATAGCATACTTTCAGACATCCATACTTTTGTGAACAGGAAGCCCCTGGAGACCCATCATTGCCTTTCTTAGCCCCTCCTTGAATTCTTAAAACTTGGGGGCTTTAATGACAGTTTTTTAGAGAGTAATTATTCTTTAAAGTATCTTTAATTCAGACATAGAAAAAGGAGCTGCCCTTCTTGACTCACCTGAAAACACATCTTTCCTCTTTAAATAGTGAGTGAAGACATGCCAAAACCCAAACTTTCTATTTTCTTGCAAGATGCACTATGTAAGGCAGCTCCATTTCTTCCCTGATCTGACTTTGCATAGTTCACGTCATGGTGGAATTACAACACTTTAGCTTCACCACACTTTTACTTGGCAATAGCTCTTCTCCAAGAGGAGAAATACAGTCTACTCTAGTGAGGAAAACCAAGTCTGCAGGCTGTTCCTGAAAAGAAATTACAGCATCACCAAGGGAGCATATTAACCATGCAGTGTATGCAGATACATCTGGCTACAGCAGCTGGCTAGAAGAAGCCTCAGGGGCTGCTGGTCTGGCACAGCTTAGATGCAGAAGCAAGAAAGCTGCTCTGAGGCATTTGGAACCTGGACTGGAACCTGGAGTGGCCAAGTGCAGAGACAGACAGATTTTCTACTTCACAATATCAGACTGAAACAATAGGTGCATTCAAAAGATGAGTGGAGCCAATTATTTCCAAGAGTTGCCACTAATAAATTCTCCTGGACCCATGCCATATGTCAAGCAGGTGCTGAAGTTTCTCTGCTCCGCATTCCCTGCGTATGTCACACTACCTGTATTATTTGGGTTGTGCTGTCCTCTGGGAATTACCAAACCACTGGCTAGTGCCAAATGCACCATTTCTGCAGAATACCACGATCTGCAAACCTGGGAACTTAGCGGGTCAAAGCTGCAATCAATCACTGGGTCATTACTGATCAAAATTAATTCCACTGAAATGTCATACTTTCAAAAGAAATTCCCACATAAGCATAAAATCAATGACAGGCTTCTGTGGACAACACCAATCAACAGAGAATTTTCTTCTAGCAATAAAGGAATGGTTGCCCTGGAAGAAATAGCTCAGTATTCCTAATATATGGAAACAATGTAATCACCCAAATCTACTTCTGTATAAAACAAAACTAAAGAGTTAAGTATTTCTAAGCATGATTTGAATGAAACATTGAACTACATCATACAAAACCACTGTCATCACTGCCATACAAAACCACTGTCACAGATAATTTGAAAAGATTAGTTTCTACTGACTTGTCAATAATACACAGATCCTTATGTATTGAAAAAAAATACAAGCTGATTTCAAAAGTATTGCTTTACTCAATGCTGTATATTGAAAAATATTTCTGATTTACACCTACAGTCAGCTAGAAAATTACGCTCTTCTTTCTGAGCGAAGCAGCAACACGAGGCTGTCTTCAAGGTTGGAAGTGGGCTCTGTGTGCAGTTCATATTATGTGCAAGGTAAGAAGAACAACATATAGGCTTCGAAACATGAAGGAAAGCACACACATTACAAATATTTAAACACCTGCAACAAAACCAAAACATGAACTAACATGTCTACAACTTCAACTAATTTCCTTGGCCCACGGTCTGGCTTCACATAGGATTTATGCAACAACAGTGAGGCATTCTTCTATAAAGTTTCTAAACATTACTATTTCATTACATAAGTAGCTCAGCACGATGCTAGACTGCAACCCTTCAAATGAAAGCTCAAGCCAAGAAATAATGGCCACTTGTCATAAAGACTGCATGGTACATTCTCTTAAGGAGTTAGGATATTACCACTACTGTCCTGGCCATAATCCAACCTAGATAATTACATTCTGGTTTATTTTTCCTTGCACTTCAAACATAAACATATTTTTCAACACTTTATTAGGATGTAGAGTGGCTGGATTTTAAAATAATGCCTTCTATTTAACTACTGCAATCAAAAGAGATGTGTTGTATCCATGTGTGGTTAATAAAAACCCCCAAATATACCCACAACTTAACTGCAATGAGCATTGCATAGGTTACAATGTAGCTTTTAAATGTTTCAGAGTAATTTTAGAAAAGAAAAATGTCAGTTACAATATTACTTCAGATTAATGTGAGGAAAAAGAAAAATAATTTAAAAAATAATGATCAAGTAAGAGACAGACAAAAAAACAGACTATTTAAAGGCTACAGATACTTAACAAGATAGGGAGTAATAGATAGCTAATACAGGGTCTAAAATACACTGCCTCAATAGAGGCTTTTTTTATTAACTCTCAATACGATGTCTTAATTTCAATGAATTTACAGATTTGTACTCTAGACTTACTACTACTACATAAACTCTGATGCAAGGTAGCCCAATTTTCTTTCAGCCAGGTAGGCTACCCTAGCTAATCCTTACCCAGTCCCTCAGAGTTACCCAATCTGAGTGTATTGGTTAGCCCAACACAAACACACCTCTGCCCATGGGGGAAGCCATGCATGAAACTTGCTAGAGCAACCCTTCCCTTTAAGGATTAACAAGGCACTGGAAGTGCTTTTGGTTCATTTAGGGATAATTAATCTGAAGAATAATGAACCTGATTCAAAATTGACAAAATACAGATTTATAGGAAATTTCCTCATCTCCTCCACAAGAGCCATTTCAACTTCTGCATTCTTAGCACAGCTCCGTTTGGTACCTTGACTGTATGTGCCAGGCACAGCCACACAGACTGCTAACCTGCTCCAAGTGATCTGTGGGTTCTCAAAGTAAAAAGCAAGTCATTGTATCGTGCAATGCATGGGAAGTACCTCAGGAGCTGCTCTCTGTTATTTGACCTGCCTGAACTTCAAAAAGAGGAATCACTTTTGATTAAACGTGTTTCATCTACCTTCATCTTGATGCATGCGACAGTCCTAACCATGGCTGTATTTAACCAACAAAAGATTTGCTCAAGGAAATGTAAATCAGTAGGTTTGGTGTGCTCATTACCAACTTTCACCACATCGTCATAGCAATAAAGTGACCATTCAGCTTTAAAAAACAAGGTACCTGAAAGATTTCCATATCTTGACACATCGCTGTTTGTTGTTGAGAGAAGAACTTTTGGCAAATTGTTAAGTTGGAAGGAATCCATGGAGACTGCTGCCCTGGCAAAAGATAGGATTCCACGCCTCTGCAAAGTAATGTCTTGTCTGATCCTAAAGGTAGCATCTCTTCCAAGTGTCTCAGGCTGCTGTACGAACATGGAACCTTTGAGATGTAATTTGCTACAGCTAGAAGTACGTTTGTTCTTCTGTTGTAGCTGTTATTCTTGTGGGGACTGCTGACTAAACATTTATGCCAAAAGCCTTCCAATAGTCTTTCTGGAACAACATCATTGCCAACCAAGCAAGCAAAGAGAGGGAGGTGTGTCAAGCTAAGACCCAGTGTATGGCAAAGATCTTCTCGAGAGTACATAACAGTGACCAGTCTGTCCAAACGGAGCTTCTCAATGGAGAAGTAGGGACACGTATTATAGATGAGGTAGTCACTATCTTGCCCAAGAATTCCTATACAGTTATGCTGCAAACCATACGCAGCCACCTCGAAGTCTGCCTCTTGCAACGTGCATACTGTTTTTTGACCAAGTGACTTCAGGGCAAAACGTGTAAAAGTAGGCAAAGCTGAAGGAATCATGAACATTTCTCGCCCTGGTTGTTTCCTGTGAGTCTTGAGAAACTGAAATATTCTGGCTATTTCCTTGTTATTCTGCAACCTCCGTTTGATCCACTCATCTCTCTTCTTCTCTTCTACCACTCCGTCAAAGTAAAACACCAACTGGATACCAGCTGCCATAAAAGCTTTAATAAAATCCTCTAAACTGGCGAGGTACTCTCGCCACTGGCCACCAGCGACCCAAGATTCTGGTGTGTACCAGTATTTAACACAACACATGGCATCTACTACGATAACAGGCGGGACACCAGGATGATCGATGCGATGTTTTTCTGCCACCTCCCTCAGATCGACTGTTCTGCATCCATCGGGGCAAACTCTTGCCACAAACCCCTGCAAACCTTTAATGCCCATGGCGATCTCTGAAATTCCCTGCAGTCTGAAAGAAGAAAAACAACATTCTAAATTGCAATACTGAGAAGCATAAGTAAATTCTACAATCAAAAAAAAAAAGAGCCAAACAGCTTGAAAACCACAGTTATTTTTCTGCTTTTGCTAATAGCTTGTTGTGTTGCCCTGGCCTTTAAACAGTTTGAACTCGTTTTCTTCCCATCAACAAACTGGACTTAAATGCCCATTCACCCTGCCCTCCACATCTGATTTTATATCAGTGCAAATTGTAGGTACCAAAAGATTTTCATTAACATGACTTAAAAGATTTCAGACTACTAGCGTAAAATACAGAAAAGTACACATTGCTAGAAAACCAATTATAGATATAATGAAATGCTTATCTCGGTTCAGGGCGAACCAAAAACCAGAGAACACATTTGTTCTCTGTTACTCCCCTCCATGCTCCCAAGGGAAAGATAAAGGGAGAATAATGAAGAGAGACTTCAAGGTTGGAAGTTAAAATTGGAACAGATTTACTAGAAGAAAGATGGGATAATAACACATGGGATGAGGAACAAATATACACAAAACACAATCTCAGTGATCACAGATGTAAATGTCCAAAGGTCCCTTGTTGCATGGCCAACTTGGGAAAAGGGTCCACAGATCTTCCCAGCACCTGATGTATTTGGATCATGCAGAGCAGCACATGGCGAGTTGATGGAAAAGCAGGAGCTTCTCTCCCAGACCTCTGAACACAGTGAAGCAGCAAGGAAGAAGGGAACAGGAAAGGGGTGGTGGAAGGCTTCTGGTCCTCCTGGCTTTTATAGAGTATGGTACAAAATAGGAGGGAATATCGACCTCTCTCTGTTCTGCCACCCAGATCACTCAGGGTCATAAAGACCCTCTCCTGAGGTCCTCATATTGATACCATGAAGTCAGCCTGGGCCCCCTCAAACCATACCAACACTTTATAATATCTCGGCTGACAGGGTGCAACAGAGGAGTCGAGGACTTGATTTTCACACTAAAAGGATCTGAACATCTTCAGTTTAAGTCAGCAACTTTAGAAATCAGTCTTGTAACTGAGCTTACAGATAGTAGCCCATTGACACAGCACCAGCTGCAATACCTCTACTGCAATGGTTTTGGCAGTATTGGTTCAGCTTTGAAGCAGAAATTCTATCCAGTTTACTGCCCTGTCATTTGAAGACATAGTTTTCGAGACCTGTTTGAAGAATGAGGTTTATCTGCATTTTGTGAATCTACAAATCCACCGTTAATAGCAAAGTTTATATATTGAATGGGATTTCCAACATGCACAGCAAATTTGAAACAATCTATTTTAAAGGTCTCACATGCAAACATTAGATAGAAGATAAAAAAAAATAAAATTAAAAAGGAGTAAATCTATTTTCATTTTACAGAATACCAAAAGATTGAAGAAGAGTCTCCAAATTCTGTGTCAGAACTTAAAGCATGCCAAATGAACCAATGTACACATTCCATAGGGAGAGTTAGTTGTGGGATGAAACTGCTGATGACTTCAATTTTTATTTCTAGAAACCTCAATGCACAGAATTTTGGCAGAGCTTCTACGTTAGATGTGCTTTTTCCTCTACTACCACATCAATTTCCTCTACCACAGCACCATTTTATTTTAAAGGACTTTCCAATGAAAAATTGAGGTAAAAAGCTTTATTCTCAGAAAATCTGTTTCAGTTATGATTCAGTATAGACTCTGATACTAATGGCCACCCACCTAAAGCAAGAAGTGCAGTGAACAACTTGCCAGCTATGCCATACTATAATGGAAACAAATATTTTCCCACCTCCTCACACCTGTATTTAAAGCACTCCTCTTGCCTAATAACTTAAGCCAGTCTATGATACACAGATTATCAGAAACATTTCTATTACGGGTACTTGTTTAGCTTAATCAATAGCAAGGTCACACCCAATTACATAAGCAAGCACTTTGGCCATTCCTAGCCTCCTAATATTGCTATCAAGCACATTCACTGAAAGCATAAGAGTTTATATTCTGTCAATCATCCTGTTACAGAAGAGGAAAACACCCTCTAATCTGTGACAGCAGCGAATTAGTAAAATCTACCAACTCAAGTATTTTCATCAGAGGCACCTCAATAGAGCTGCTAGAATCAGAACTAAAATGCTTTGAGCTGTACTGCTAAGCTTGCCAAGGGCAGAAAACGTGCACATTCTGTGCAACAGATGACCAATTTACAGCTGGATGCTTATTTCTGATGTTACTTGTGTGAAATGGAGGTTTCAAAGTTCCCACAGGATCTCGACTGCACTAGGAAGTGCGCGACTCCATGGGGGGAGAGAAATTTACCCACAAACTGAAGTAATTAAAAACGTCTCCTGCCCCAGTTCGATACAGACACAAACATCCTGAGAGAGGCACTACGGCAGCAGAGGACACCACTACACTTCATCCTGCCGGGTGTCACGGATGTTGTGATGTTCGCAACAGGTTCTCCAGCGCCAGCCCTGGCGCCGCGGCCCTCAGCACAAGGAGCCAAGTCCTGCCCTTCCGACGTGCGCCATCGCCCCGCAGCCCCCGCTGCTGGGAGGGCCGGGGTCTGTGGCAGCGCCCCCGGCGCGGGAGGCGCGGGAAGGGCCGCTGGCACCTGCCCGCAACGAGGGGAGGCCCAGGGCGAGCCCCTCACGGGAGGGCCGATCAC